CAGGGCGACGTCCGAGACAGACTACCACATGTCCACGGGCTGTCCCCTTCTGAGAGGGAAATAGGCACAGTGGAAATGTGGTGACTGCAATTTTGTTGAGTCTCAGCAGTGTCGTTGTAAGTCTACTGGTCACGTCAAACATCCCCTGCCCTATCCTCATTGCTCTCGACCACCCACTAAAACACTCCTGGCCTTCTTTGTGTACGAAACTTACCGGTTCTGGTCTCTCTACCCTTAACTGAGTCCTCCTTCTCCTGAGGTGTGACGGGGAACACGTAGCCCTCTCTCCCGCAACACTCCTTTGTTATGAACCTCGTGATCTTTGCCTGACTGGAATCCTTGTTGTGCTTGGCAAATGTCTTTTCCCTTACTCGTGGTAAAGACTCCTTCGACTCTAGAAAGTTGCACCTCCTACACCTCTGGTATCGAAGGAACCTGGATGTAGTGTGACATGTAAATGTAAATACCAGTTAAAATTATAAATTTAAGGTACGGAGTGTATGAATACTTATATTATTGACGAATTATAAAAAATGACTGTAAAACTTGTTGTATATTACAGGATGAAAGAACAATAAGATAGAAAGGGTACATAACATGTCTTATAGAAAATACGCGCGTGTGTTGTCAGGTTTTCAACCCTAGTTTATTCTGAAGAATAGAATCGGAATAATAGGATGAAAATGAGTATCTTCTAGACTCATGCACAGGTGGGACCATATTCCTACCTCAAATCTTGACACGCCATTTCCTTTTTTTATTAAAGTTTTTAGTCAAATCGAAGTCGGAGAAGGTCTAGGAAATCGTAAGTTTTTTTTGAAAAACAACTTGACCAGTGTTGGCTCACTGTTGATCGTCGATGATGTGTTACCATAATTTCCACACTTCCGAGGAACGCCCAATCATTTGAACAACCTGCTTTTCAATGGTCCTACTTCAAAAAAGGCTCTTTAGAAGAAAGTGTTTCATCAAAAGACTATGGCTGGTAAGTATTAAACCCCATCGTAAGTGGGTAGTTGTTTTGTCATGTTTTTGTCACGGAGAGTTACTCTTTGTTGAGTCGCCAGTTCATCTAGTAAGGCAAGTCACATTGTTTTTTTAGGGGTGATCACGTTTCGAAATTCTCTTTCCTCAGTGATTGTGTCCACGTTGTACAAAACACTGCCTGTTTGACCGTAATGTTAGGTAATAATTCAGGACGTGAAGTCATTTTAGGTTAAACTTTCCGAGACTCAGTAGTGGTCTTATCATGTTACTAAATTTTCAATTTTTTATTAACATAATTTCAAACCAAAAAATACACCTATACAGTCCGTGACAGTAAGTTCCTGTCCCTATACAAGCGTATATTTGATGGTATGTCCAGTAAACTTTCACCAATTCTCTCCGAGTACATTTTATGGAGGTTGGACACTCTACGGTATATGATTTTCCTAGTCTTTCCGTGATTATCTACATTAAACTTTTTTACTACATGTTGTTATGTTCTTTGGTATTGTAACTTCCCTGTCTGTGAGGTAGTTTATAATCCAGGAGATGGTGGATGCGTCTACCCTCATTGCCTGCAGCTTGTCACTCAGTAACTGTGGCTGGATCGTGTTGAATGCACTGGAGAAATCAGAAAAGGTGATTCTCACAGTGCAACCTGATCCATCCAGGTACGAGTTAGCACGCTGCAGCAGGTAGATAATGGCGTCATCCCCCCCAGGTGAGGCTGGTAGGCAAATTGCAGAGGGTCAACAAAATGATATCATCTTCTATCTGAGATGGGCCAAGACCAGTCTCTCCAGAACCTTCATCACATGTATGTGAGAGCTACTGGGTGATAATCAGCCCAGAAGGAGTCGTCTTCTTAAGACTGGAACAACGGAGGACGTCTTCCACAGCACCGGGATGATCTCCAGGTACAGGGTCGGGTTGAACAGGTGTTGTAAGTCAAGTAAGTAGCAGAGTGTAGGAATACTCTGTTACATGTAAAATTCCTGCATTCAAAATGTTACTCAAGTAAAAGTAGAAAAGTATTGGCTTCAAAATATACTTAAAGTATCAAAGTACTCATTATGCAGTATCTCAAAATTGTACTTAAGTACAGTAGCCTACTTGAATCAATATACTTAGTTACTTTACACCACTGTTTATACATTGCCCTTTTCCTAACACTGTCAGCTTTCTTCTCCATTTAAAATTAATGAGGGATCTCAATAAATGGATCTTTAATCAAATATGTTAAGGTGACTTAACCACAAGCTGTGGCGACAACAGTTAGCGTGCAAAGCTAGGCTAGTTATCTCTTAAAGGACTAGCTAATTTGATGTTCTTTTTTTCTATATTAATATATTTTTAACGCGATACAAAACTCTTCATTCTTTTTTATGCTGGAACATTCCAAATTATTTTTCAATTACGGGAATAGCTAAAAAGCAATGTTGAGGTAAGGCTATCTTCTATGCTATCTTGTGGTGTGCAGTCCAATGTTATGTTTTTTGCATAGTATTTTATTTTAAATATATCAAAAACTCGCTTTCTGATCTTATCTTTTTATATTTTCAATACAGAGTCTTTGTATGGCAGACTGCATGGCAGTCTTCATGCATACCAAACATTTTTTCATTGTAAATGTACAAGACAATACATGCATAATGTTATGTTCATTTTATGTAAGAACTCACATGCAGCATTTTACATAATAGTGCCATAAAACTCTATCATTTATCATCTACTGAAATTCATGAGTATTTAACCTATGATAGCAGGTTAATAAAGCCTGAAATGTTGCTTGCTGATCACACATTTGTATAGGTCTTTATCATTTTTACTAAACAGTCCTGTTTAAAGTGGAGTTGACTTACCTTTGAAATGTATATTTATTCAGTAAATGGAAGATTAAAGACCACAGCTAGACCGAACAATCATTCATTCAGTTATCTTATCAATCAATCAATGTTTATGTATATCGCCTAATATCACAAATGTTGCATTTGTCTCAGTGGACTTCACAGTTTGTACAGAATATCAGTATGACAATACGACACCCTCTGTCCTTAGACCCTCACATCGTACAAGGAAAAACTTCCAAAAAAGGAAAAACCCCACAAGGGGAAAATGGGAGAAACCTCAGGGAGAGCAACAGAGGAGGGATCCCTCTCCCAGGACGGACAGAAGTGCAATAGATGCCGTGTGTAAATCGAAGAGATAATACATTTACAACATAGGTAGTCCAAATGTTTGG